TAGTTTTCTTTAATGGTCGGTGTGACCATGTTCCGGTACATACATAGGTCAGCTACAAGTAATGACCAGGGGTCAATTTGATAAAACTCCTGAAGCGAATAGTGTAATTTACAAGTGTAGCTATCGTTTTCAGACTCAAAAACAATGGCTACATTTGTAAATTAAACGTTTTATTAAATGGAACCCAAATTTAAAATGGGTTTTGATGAGGCTGTCTTATTTCATGAACCATTTGTTTCATGAAGATACGGTAACTAACTCATTTTTGCAGGGTGATGCACACTAAGAGGGGGGCGTAAGGGGAGTCCGAAAACCGCAAAACCGCACAGAAATACGCCAAAAAACCGCAAACCGCATCGGATTTTTTCCCGAATACCGAAACCGCGCGTACATGTAGGCCACAATATGAAAGCTGACGTCAGCAAGACTTGTGATTTTTTCTGATAACATTGTGCGTTAGTATTAATCATACCATCATAACGCTAACGATATATTGTACTACACTATTATACTCTATTTACTACTAACCAAATGCCAAGTATGCTGGTCATGTACTTGAACGAGTATTGATATCTCCTTTGAGTTTGAAAAACTCTGTCACTGATCCTATACGTCTTACATTGGGTGACTGATTACTTTGACTACTTTGAACGACCCAGTGCTAGTTGTGGAACACGGAATAAATGTTTCTTCTGGAATTGTGACCTTCTTGTCTCGTAAAGAGTTCACGTTCAGTGGAGAAGACGATTGTTAAAACGTACAGCTCTTCTGAACTTCTCCCCTTCCTTTCCTTCTTCATAGAAGATTGCCACGCAATTAATTATTAGTATATTACGTCCTCTTCGCTTTCAGTTGCGACCTCGACGACCTCAGTTGCCATTGTCGCGCATTGAATCAAAGCAACGAGAACACGAGGCTGTACGGCTGTACGAGCTAACATCCGGCATGGAATTTCACGAAGTCGACGCATCATTGGCCAAAACGGTTAATCACATTAAGTATTAACTGGAAAAGGCCTTAATTGCAAACCACAGAGTTAAATTGTAAGCTGGTATAATGAACCCTGATGGGCTGTAAAACAAAACACTTGGCTCGCGCTTGCAGAACAACCGGCGCCGACCGTTCTAAAGGGTGTTATCACCGTAGACACTTTTTTTCACCGAAAACCGCGACTTAAAGGTTGTAATAACCGCAAACCGCTTAGTGTTTTGAAACCGCAATACCGCGAGTTAAAATAAAAATTACCGCAAAACCGCACCAAAAATAACGCAAAACCGCATCACCGCAAACCCTTACGCCCCCCTCCACCAACAAAATTGAGCAGCTTCCACCTGGGATCTTCTCCGATCTATCTGAACTAAGAGAGTTGTAAGTTTTTTTCTCTGTTTGTTGCTAATGTTCAAGACTAAACCCCCGGACTAAAACACTAGGATTGTTCAACCACGTATACATACGATTCCGTACGAGTAACCTGCGCGGCTAGCATACAAGCAACTTTAAGATACTAACATCGCCAAAAGCGTTGTAGGACGCCTTTTCCAGTAATAGGGTTGGTTCCATCAAAATACTCAAATGTCTCATTTTACTAATCGGACCATCCCGTGTGACACACGAGCGCAATATAATTTTTGCAAGAACGCCGTGCAAAGCATACAAACTGGCATCGGAAATTGCCCCCTTTAAGGGACATGAACATATTCCCTTTTGTCATCATTGTCCCTGTTTGAACCGACTATAAATGTGATGACTATGGACGTGATTCTGGTTATTGCCCCCGCAGGGATTTCGCCCAGAGGCGAAATCCCGAGGAGGCACCCAAGTAACTCGCGCGGTTATAAGGTGCGTTTAAGTGTGTATATATAAACACTTGGAGAGTTTGCCAGACACGAGTTCACAAATCTTTGATTTATATTGGAAACCTTGCCAGGCACTCTTTCCCTCTCCTTCACCGGAATAAGACTCAGCCCCAAACAAGCAAGACGAGTGAACAACGGCTAGCTTATCACTAGCAGACTGCGATGGACATTTACAGAAATTCGCCGACAATCAAATTCTGTGCTGACTTATTCCCTGCTCACAGATGTCCTTCCGTTATAAAGTTTCAAATAAGACTGGAATGCGCTAGCGTGAATCGATCAAACGTCCTTTTAATTTCGAAGGCTTACTTTCCGGCAAATAAAATGAACTGAATGTAAAAAGGCAAAGAGGAATAGCGAAAAATTCAACTTCTAATTAAATCTTTTCTTATGGTTTAGAATAAGCTATTCCAAGAGCCATAATAGGACTATTATGGCTCTTGGCTATTCTCGAAACTGGGAATGTTTTGATCAAAGCTGTGTAAATCGAGCTGAAAGTGTGCTTGGAGCCTTGCGTTTCCTTTATTTATCTCACCTATTGTATGGAATATGTATGAAAATCTTCATTATGAATCGGTATATTTCAAAGAGCTACACAACAGGCAAGAATACTATTGACCGACAATATACAGAACGGAGGCAGCTGTAGTGTCAACTATTACTAGTTGTAAACATTGTAGTGAAAGTGCTTGATGACGAAGAGATGTCGGAGATGTCGGGGAAATCAGGGAAATAAGGGAAAGGAGGGTGGAAAATTACCGCCACCAGTGACAAAAAATAATGGCAATTGCAATAGACCTTTTCAAGGTTAACACCGCCATTTTGCCGGGGGTGCAAAACTACTGGGGCGAGCGCGCGGCCGAGCATGAAATGCAAATGGCGACACGGCTGAATAATCTGTTAACATGCCAAAACACGCTCGTTGTGCGGTAGGTTTTTGCGATAATGATAAAAGATATCCTGACCTTGCTTTTGTCAGATCACATGTGGAGAATTTAGTATATCACAAGTGGCCAACCGACCCTAAACTTGCCGAAATATGGCGAAAACAAGTGGCGAAGACTCGAAGTGATCCCTTCAATCCTTCCCCTGGTGCTAGTGGGACTTTCGTGTGTTCAAATCATTTCCCATGTGGACGAAGAACTCCTGAAAACCCTAAAACGGATTTTCCGTCTATTTTTATGACTGTTTCGGATTACCTGCAGAAAAAATCACCCAAGAAAAGGAAAGCGAACAAGTTACAAGAAGCTGGTTCTGCAAGAAGCCTGTTCCCTAGCTCCAAGGAGTCAAAGCAGGATCCTGAGGAGAGTGATAGTGATGATGAACAAATGGAAGCAGATGCAGATTACTCCGTTTCAGTTCCAATGCAATTCGAACAGTTGACAAGAGAAATGGAAGTAAAAGTCTACACAGGTCTGCCATCACCGAAAGCATTCGAGTTCTTGTTCGATTATTTGAGCCCAAAGGCTCGGTTTATGCAATATTGGAGGGGTGGAAAACAAACAAGAAAAGAATCGTCTCAACCTCCCTCTCCTTTTGAGTTAGCAACTGGCTATCTCAAAGGAAGACCTGGGCCAGAGAGGAAGCTTCGACTTGAACAGGAGTTTTTACTGACTCTTATGAAACTAAGACTAGCTCTTCTAACTTTTGATTTGGGGTTCAGGTTCCATGTGTCAGCTTCCACTGTCAGTAGTGTTTTTATAACTTGGGTTAAGCTCATGTCCAAGGAACTCTCCGTTTTAATTGTGTGGCCTAGTCGACAACAGATCAAGAAAACCCTCCCATACTGTTTTAAAAAGCTTTATCCCAAAGTAAGATGTGTAATTGACTGTTTTGAGTGCTTCACAGAAACTCCAAGTGGACTTGACCTGGCAGCAACACTATGGAGTGAGTACAAGCACCACTACACTTTCAAAGTCCTTGTTGCCATCACCCCAAATGGAGCAATTTCATATGTTTCACCATGTTATGGAGGCAGGGCATCTGATATTTTTATTGTAAGGAATAGTGGGTTTTTAAAAATGATTGAGCCTTACGATGAAGTCATGGCAGACAGAGGTTTTAAAATCCGAGAGGACTTGATGATGCACATGGCAACATTATGCATTCCACCTAGTTGTGCATCATCTATGCAAATGCTACCACGTGATGTCAGAGAGACATCAAACATTGCAAATGTCAGAATTTATGTTGAACAAGCTATTGGACGGCTCAAAGTTTTTCTTATTCTGAAAAATGAACTGCCTATTACCCTGCTTCCCCTGGCTGATGATATTGTTCGTGTCTGCTGTGCATTGTGCAATTTGCTTCCACCACTCTGTGTTTGATATTTTTATTTACAAATATGCCAAGGTGACCACATATTCAGTTTAGAGACTGGGGCAGATTCATTTGAGAACTGTTAACATGTCAATGAAATGTGAAACTACTACTACACTGTACATAGATGACATCATTGTGTATTTCAAGGCATAAGAGCAATACCTTGCATTTTCTATTTCAGATTGAACAGTCCCCACAAAAGCTATCTAATGAACTTGGCTTTCTTTGAATGGAGGTCCTTCCATGAGTGAATGAAATGTTACTTTTTGTGCAAAACAATTTTGTTTAAATTATCATGAAATACCGGTATATTTCCAAATCAAGTTGTATTTACATAATGTTAAATTGATTAAGGAATTGAAATTTGCTATTAGAAATGTGCGTAATTAACCGTAGCAACAGGAATGTTCATACAACATTTTCATAACATTTCATAAAAAATGCATCAACAAAACAATACTAAACAATAAGTGGCTATAAAAAATATATAGAAAGGTGTAAATAACTCTGACTTTTCTCCATGTCTAACTTAGTAGAAATGAAAATGCATCCAACATTCTTAAATTCTTTCTACATGTAGAAAAATATTACATGATGCAATTAAAACATTTTGTAGGTTATACATGTACTTCTTGGACTGGTGTATTAAAGTTCTTAACACCTTGTGAATCTATGATTTTGTCGATTTGATGTTTGGGATTAGTTACAGCTGTATGTGACCATGTGGTGAAACTTCTCCTTGTGAACAGTAATTAAAATTCAATGTACAGTACATGTATTAATCTGAAATGCAGTAATTACAAATTAGGTCTGCAGAACTTGTTATGTCCTCATGGTTACTGCACCAAGCATGGACAGCTTTTTACAGACTGTGCAAACATGTTCTCCATTCACAGGGATACTCTTAAGACAACAAACTGGGCAGACATGATTTACAGTGTTTGAGTTATCAGTTTGTTCTTCTTCCTCAGGTAAGTTCAAGTCAAGTTCATCATCCCCAGCATCATGTATGTTTGCTGCATCAGCCAGGCAGCTCTGGCAAATCCAAGAGTCGAGTGCATCTGCAGAATTCACACTGAGTTCAGCACATGGCAAATGCCACCAAGTGCTGCAGCGGTCACAGCATACACTGTTTTCGTTTGCAGAATCACTTATTTCATCACTCTCCAAAATAACCTTGTCACACTTGGGGCACTCAAAAATGTCCCTGTATCCTAACAGGCAAGGTAACACAAAAGATTTGTAAAAGAGAGTGATATTGTTCACAACTTTCAGACAAAATTCCAAGTCAAGTTCTACTCGTTCATACAATGGTTGGCCGCCCAGAGTCCAAACAATAAAGAAGCCATGATTGGCACCACAAACCCACATCTGAGCTTGCATTTGGGTGTAATATTTGTGCGAGCGTTTTAAGCGGGGCTTTCCATTAAAATCTTCAAGAAATTCCACACGGTCAAATGTCTTTTTTTCATGAATATTTTCATTTCTCACACTGTAGGGACATTTTGCTTCCAGTGTTGCCAGACCACAACAATGGCAAAAAAACAGGCCGTCCGGGGAACCCGCAAGGAAGGGGTAATCAGGTTTGATGAACAATCCACACTGTCTAAAGCCCTGTAGGCCACCATCATGTTGAGAGGCCACATCTGACATGAATGATTTTATGGCATCCTTTTCATGGGCATTCCCCCACTTTATCTGTGGCATATGTGAGACATCATCACTTTTATTCAACAGGCTTGACACCATTGAACTGTAAATGGGTTTTTTGTCATTGTCACTTTTTCTGTTGATGATTGTTTGAGCCTTGGTGTGAAATTTGTGAAAATTTGATGCAGTCACTCTCCCAACTCTTTGTTGATGCCAAGAGTCATTGTTACTCTGGCCACGAGTTTCAGTTTCCACCCTTTTCACTTGGTCACTCGTCATCTGACATTCTTTTAAAAAGAGTGGAGTGGTATGTTCCAATGGTTTTCCTTTCATTTCTTGGGATGACATGAAGCTAAGGGCTCTCTGAGGAAGAGGTTCGGGTAGGCCGTCATCTTTAGTGTGCTCGATAGAGTGAAGTAAACAAGCAGATGGGACATTCTCAATTACTCCATTGATAAGAGCTGACACCCTTTCATTGGTCAGCTGCCTATCCTGGGGCTTTCGTGGGTCAAAGTTGTTCTTTAAAGTTAAATTGGCTGCCTGTTCTTTGGGACTGTCCTCCCTGAGTCTTTTTGTCTTTACGAAAGACAAGGTTTTTTATTTGAGTTGAGCTACATCCTTTCTAGTTCCTTTGTTCCATCCTTGTGGAACGCTTGTACATGCAGGAGATATGTAAGCTTTCTTGTGTGCAAAATTTACTTTATATAGCAAAGCTATAACATGATTGCAAACTTCACCAGTACCTGCTGTACATGTACACCAAGAGGTTAAGATTTTGCATTCACTTTTTGTGCCCTCTAAACAAACCCAGACCTTATGCGGGTCATCACGAATTTTTGTGACGGGGATACAGAGCCTTTCAAGAACACATGCTTGCTGTTAATTGGGCATTTAGCAAAGAACACTGTGTCTACAAAGCCACTCATCCAATAAGAATAGGCCTTCTGATCCTTGTATTTTCCAATATAGTCGACATCTACGGCTTTAGTCCTCAAAATATAACTGAACAATTTGCCATCATCGACCTCTGGCCATTCCTTTACGTCGTCAATCCAAGCGTCACTCGGTAACATGTTTGGATCACTCTTAATTTCATTTTTAGTCAGCCTCCTTGAATATTCGTCTTTTATCTGCTGATAAATTTGCTCCTGGGAAAACTTCACAGGCACATTGAGTTCGTAGGCTCCAAACGCTCTAGCGATCAGCTCAGACTTTCTGCCCGTTTGCTTGAGTCCCCGTAGCGAAAGAAAATCCTTTAACGAGGAAACAGTCCAACCGAGGAAGTCGTCGTATTCAAGAACTTCCTCTGCTTGTCGAGGCATCACAAATAATTTTGTGGCCGCTCTACCGGAGTGGTAGCGGCAGAAATAGAAAAGGATTTCAAACTAACAGTTTCAGTACACGTGTTTTGATCCTAGATTAAGATATTTCGATATTTCTTCGCAGGTAATTGCAACTCGATGAGTCAGCCATTTGCATTTTATTGTTTGGCCGCGCGCTCGCCCCAGTAGTTTTGCACCCCCGGCAAAATGGCGGTGTTAACCTTGTAAAGGTCTATTAGTTCAGTAGTTGATGAAGATGTTTGTGCTTTTTTACTGGCACTGAAGAAAGAGACGAGCCTACAAACAACTACACAGTCATCCCATGCATTTCTGAGTATAATGCCATGCATAAATATTTTATTCCTCTTATTCTTCTGCATGATTTTTTAAGCCACATCAAGAGATACATCGTGTACATATTACTATCTGAGATATTGCTGCGTTTTCCGTTAGTTTTCGAGGTCAAGAAAAATGTAAGAAATAACGAAGGAAATGCTTAGATAATACAGCCCAAAAAAGCTGCGAGGAGATAGTGAAAATAAATAGAAGATTTTTTCTTTAAATGAAAATAGCAACGCTTGAAGCGTAGCAAAGCTGTTGTGGATTTCTCTTCTTATGTGGGTTTAAAAATACGGATAATATATATTTAATAACAGATATGCTTAAAATAGCGCACTGAGCCATGGAACCGCGTGGACTCGGCCCTTGCGATTTCTACTCCGATTATGGCTCCAGTACAAATCAGTAAAAAACAAACAGTTGTGGGTAATACGTATTTTAAAGTCTTTTTTTATCATTGCCAATTTTAAACCTTATAAGTAACAGTCTTTGTGCTAAGCCTCATGTGCTGGAAAAGCCATATGGTTAAATTACAGAATTAAACTGTTACTTCCTTGGACAAGGCGTACGGCAGGCATAACTGTCTTTTAGTCCTAATGGTTAATATAGGAGCCGGTGACCAAACTCCTAATGCCTAAAATGTTTGTTACAGATAAATGTCCAAGTTTGCACGCAGTAGCAAAAATTGCGAAAAATTGGAGAAATCGCAGTTTTTGCGAAAATTACTAAATTCAGGTGGTAAAGGAGGAACAAGAGTGTCCAGCAAAAACTGTGATTTCTACAATTTCTGAGATTTCTCCAAAAATTGCGAATAATTGGAGAAATTGCAGTTTTTGCTAAAATTAATTAAGTCAAGTGTTACAGGAGGTACAAGGGTGTCCAGCTAAAACTGCGATTTCTGCAAAAATTGCGAAAAATTGGAGAAATCGCAGTTTTTGCTAAAATTATAACAAGCTAAAGGGTCGATTTTAATGCAAAAGCGCCGTTGAACGGCCCATTCGTGGAGTATTTGTGGGAATTATAATTACGTAAGCTGTCAACTCCTATTGTTTTGGGCTAAGGCTCAAGTTTACAAAGAAACCCTGAAACATGTTCATCAGCTGTCGACACTTTCAATTTTAATGAGATTTCTTTCATCCCTCTCTTGAATTCTAAGCGTTAACAAGGTGAGATTAATAATCCTTGGTCGACTTCTGTCACGCTGGCAGCATAAGCATAATCGACAATAAGTATTATGCAATGATTTCGTCTGCCTGTCGAAAACCGGAGAAATGTAACAAAATTTCAAAAAGCGCTCAGTTTCCTTGCAGAATTGCGTGAATATCATCACACATATCTATAAACTAGTTAAGTCAACAAATTCGCTGGTTATGCACATAATTTCTGTAGCAAATGCGTTAAAAAATATATCACATATTTACATAAGTGACACAGTTCCTAAAAAGTACAAAAGAAGGATGCACGAGAAGTTTCCCTCCTTGCACAGGGGAAGTTATAAGGCTAACCTACTAAAAATGGCCGAACTAGACGGCGAAAGAAATTTCTTTCAAGGCTTAATTTTAATCTAGTAACCCATTTTCGACGTTCATTAAGTTTCCGCAATGATTTGAAAGGTGGTTTCTCCTTGTATTGAAGGATCTTAAAGAAAGTAGATTTTTAGTGTGATCATGATGAGGCTTGTGCAAGAAAAAAAGATGCCCGTTTGACCACCTCAATAAGAAAGCGTTCGATTGATCAAATTCCGGAATAATGACACGCAGAAATTTGAAAAAATCTCTTCGACCGAAAATTATGCACTACTTAGATGAAACATTAAATTCTCAACACATTCTGGACTGTAAATGAACGCCAATAATTAGTGATTTTCAGCGTTTTTTCATGAAATCTCACTCCAATTGACGCATTACAAAAGGTTGAAAGACATCGGACATTTTATTCCTGAACACGGTCAATCGAGCGCACAGTAAAATCATTTATGATAATTTAATAACAATAATAATAATAATAATATTAATAATAATAATAATAATACTTATAGGGGGAGCCCAACTTGCCAAGGCGGTATTCAGTGGGGCCCTCATGTCCTTTAGTCAGGATGGTGAAAAAGTCGACCAGTTTAGGACGTTTTCCTGGGATTGACCTCTGGCATTTCTTAGCCACTTCCTTCAGGATTGGTGGAATTTCTAGCTTAGCGTCTTTAAATAAACGAGTGACCAGATAGCCAAACGAAAACACGTCGCTAGCGACACCGCGTTCCATTTCTAGTGCGATGTGCGGAAATTTGTTCATCGATTTCTCAATGTTCACCTTGGGTTTACGTAACCTGGCTTTAACAATCTTGCAACTTTTTCCAAAATCGATAATTACGGGTTTATTTTCCGATCCGTCAATGACAACATTATTGCCCTTCACATCGTTGTGCAAGAAACCTCTTTCATGGATGAATATTAGTATTTCGCATGGTTGCTTTAAGATATTTGCGCACATGGCAACATCTTGAATTCCTTTTTCCGGAGCGCTTTCACTACGCAAAGCGTGGAAATGGAGAACCAGATAAAATGGTGCCCGATCTGTGGAAACACCAAACAGAAGAGGGATTCCCCAGTGGTCTCCAATTCCAGTGATTGCCGATGCTTCTCGCCACACTTCCTCTCTTGTCTTCTTTGGGGATTCAATTATTTTCATTTCTTTACTTAGCAACAACGCCGTATTCATTGCGGTATAGGGCGATGTAACAGTTCCCGAAGGTTCCGTTTCCAATTTTTTGGCTTTTATCCACTTTCAGCAAAGACCTATTGATCTCCTTAAACGCAAGAGCATCTACGTTCTTGCCGATGCTATTTGTTTCCGTGAAATTTTTGCGGCCAGCACATATTTCTCTTCGGTATGACCTTTCCGTTTTAACTTCGAATGTGATAAATTGACCATGACCTTGCCTCTGGAAAAAGTATTTGCCTCTGGAGATAGTTTGTTGGCCTCGATCCGTTTCTTGTTTGCGGGCAGTGGTTCTGCCACCTTCTCACTGTCTGATTCGCGAACCTTTTCATTCTCCTCTCCCTCTTCTGGCATCTTCTGTAGTTCTGTGTGACCATGTTCCGGTACATACAGAGGTCAGCTACAAGTAATGACCAGGGGTCAATTTGATAAAACTCCTGAAGCGAATAGTGTAATTTACAAGTGTAGCTATCGTTTTCAGACTCAAAAACAATGGCTACATTTGTAAATTAAACGTTTTATTAAATTGAACCCAAATTTAAAATGGGTTTTGATGAGGCTGTCTTATTTCATGAACCATTTGTTTCATGAAGATACGGTAACTAACTCATTTTTGCAGGGTGATGCACTCCAACAAAATTGAGCAGCTTCCACCTGGGATCTTCTCCGATCTATCTGAACTAAGAGAGTTGTAAGTTTTTTTCTCTCTTTGTTGCTAATGTTCAAGACTAAAACACTAGGATTGTTCAACCACGTATACATACGATTCCGTACGAGTAACCTACGCGGCTAGCATACAAGCAACATTAAGATACTAACATCACCCAAAAGCGTGGTAGGATACTGTAGCTGACGCCTTTTCCAGTAATAGGGTTGGTTCCATCAAAATACTCAAATGTCTCATTTTACTAATCGGACCATCCCGTGTGACACACGAGCGCAATATAATTTTTGCAAGAACGCTGTGCAAAGCATACAAACTGGCATCGGAAATTGCCCCCTTTAAGGGACATGAACATATTCCCTTTTGTCATCATTGTCCCTGTTTGAACCGACTATAAATGTGATGACTATGGACGTGATTCTGGTTATTGCCCCCGCAGGGATTCGCCCAGAGGCGAAATCCCGAGGAGGCACCCAAGTAACTCGCGCGGTTATAAGGTGCGTTTAAGTGTGTATATATAAACACTTGGAGAGTTTGCCGGACACGAGTTCACAAATCTTTGATTTATATTGGAAACCTTGCCAGACACTCTTTCTCTCTCCTTGACCGGAATAAGACTCAACCCCAAACAAGCAAGAAGAGTGAACAACGGCTAGCTTATCACTAGCAGACTGTGATGGACATTTACAGAAATTCACCGACAATCAAATTTTGTGCTGACTTATTCCCTGCTCACAGATGTCCTTCCGTTATAAAGTTTCAAATAAGACTAGAATGCGCTAGCGTGAATCGATCAAACGTCCTTTTAATTTCGAAGGCTTACTTTCCGGCAAATAAAATGAACTGAATGTAAAAAGACAAAGAGGAATAGCGAAAAATTCAACTTCTAATTAAATCTTTTCTTATGGTTTAGAATAAACTATTCTCGAAACTGGGAATGTTTTGATCAAAGCTGTGTAAATCGAGCTGAAACTGTGCTTGGAGCCTTGCGTTTCCTTTATTTATCTCACCTATTGTATGGAATATGTGTGAAAATCTTCATTATGAATCGGTATATTTCAAAGAGCTACACAACAGGCAAGAATACTATTGACCGACAATATACAGAACGGGGGCAGCTGTAGTGTCAACTATTACTAGTTGTAAACATTGTAGTGAAAGTGCTTTTGATAAATCTCATGACGAAGAGATGTCGGAGATTTCGGGGAAATCAGGGAAATAAGGGAAAGGAGGGTGGAAAATTACCGCCACCAGTGACAAAAAATAATGGCAATTGCAATTAGTTCAGTAGTTGATGAAGATGTTTGTGCTTTTTTACTGGCACTGAAGAAAGAGACGAGCCTACAAACAACTACACAGTCATCCCATGCATTTCTGAGTATAATGCCATGCATAAATATTTTATTCCTTTTATTCTTCTTCATGATTTTTTAAGCCGCATCAAGAGATACATCGTGTACATATTACTATCTGAGATATTGCTGCGTTTTCCGTTAGTTTTCGAGGTCAAGAAAAATGTAAGAAATAACGAAGGAAATGCTTAGATAATACAGCCCAAAAAAAAGCTGCGAGGAGATAGTGAAAATAAATAGAAGATTTTTTCTTTAAATGAAAATAGCAACGCTTGAAGCGTAGCAAAGCTGTTGTGGATTTCTCTTCTTATGTGGGTTTAAAAATACGGATAATATATATTTAATAACAGATATGCTTAAAATAGCGCACTGAGCCATGGAACCGCGTGGACTCGGCCCTTGCGATTTCTACTCCGATTATGGCTCCAGTACAAATCAGTAAAAAACAAACAGTTGTGGGTAATACGTATTTTAAAGTCTTTTTTTATCATTGCCAATTTTAAACCTTACAAGTAACAGTCTTTGTGCTAAGCCTCATGTGCTGGAAAAGCCATATGGTTAAATTACAGAATTAAACTGTTACTTCCTTGGACAAGGCGTACGGCAGGCATAACTGTCTTTTAGTCCTAATGGTTAATATAGGAGCCGGTGACCAAACTCCTAATGCCTAAAATGTTTGTTACAGATAAATGTCCAAGTTTGCACGCAGTAGCAAAAATTGCGAAAAATTGGAGAAATCGCAGTTTTTGCGAAAATTACTAAATTCAGGTGGTAAAGGAGGTACAAGGGCGTCCAGCAAAAACTGCGATTTCTGCAAAAATTGCGAAAAATTGGAGAAATCGCAGTTTTTGCTAAAATTATAACAAGCTAGAGGGTCGATTTTAATGCAAAAGCGCCGTTGAACGGCCCATTCGTGGAGTATTTGTGGGAATTATAATTACGTAAGCTGTCAACTCCTATTGTTTTGGACTAAGGCTCAAGTGAGTCTATCTTTTTGTCGAGGGTCGAGGGTCGAGGGTTCCATGTCGAGGGCGAGGGTACCAAGTCGAGGGTCGAGGGTAACATTTTTTTTCCATTTTTTTTTTTTTGGAAAAGGTGATAATCGATGCAATCAATGTCATTAAAACAAATAAGAAGAATTTAAAAAACAAATGGCGCGTGAACATCTTCCAGTTGTTGAATGGGGGGGGGGGGGGAATAGAGAAAAGCTCCGGGACATCCCAATTTGTTTTCGAAGAATTACATTTATAACAATAAAAGGGGGTGGTAGGCCCACACGACTTTTACCTCATGCCAAAATGCTGCTTATTCCAATAGAGTTGTTGTTATCTGCTGGGTAGATTATGCTCTGGAAGGTTCAATTCTGCATTTATACTGAGCAAATGTGATTTTAGCCGCATGTTTCACACTGAGAGGTCATGACATATATATCGATTGACTGTAGTTATTGTTTTCTGGTCGGCAGGATTTGCCCTCTGATGCAAGCGCAATTTCTTTGACCTCTTTTGAAGCGTAAAGCTTTTTTATTACGGCTGAATAAGGGTTCCAATTTTCTCCAAAGTGCCTTCTGGATATGAATAACTAAGCGATTTTCTTTTTTCCGTGAGTTGGGTGCCCTTGCTTCGCGGCTTATATTTCAGTCACGTCTGCCTCTTCTCTGCCTTGCTTGGCTGTTCAGTGGGGTAGTTTGAATATGGATATTTCACCGATTCTTGTTTTTTAAGCCATCCCACTGTATGCGACCGAATTGTCGTGCTTTCAATGAACTGGAAACTCGCCATGAAATTTTAAAATACAAGTCATCGATAATCACCCCCCGGGGGGGGGGGGTACTCCCATACATTACCCATACGGGTATGTGCCGCCCGACGGGGTCGTGATTTTGAAGCTCCTGATTTAGAACGGGGTATCCATTTCAGAGGCGTTTTCTAGAACGGGGTATAAAAAATTGTGGATCACGGCTTTATCCTCTGCTTAAAATTGTTGCTGACTATGAAGAAACATTTATTTGATGTATAAGTCGAACAAATAAAGAAATAGCTTTTTAAAAAAACAGGGCTATTTCAATTTACAAACTTTCTAGAACGCAATATAAAATTAAAAAATGGGCCCATTTCTAGAACGGGGTTTTAGTTTTAGGGCGAATTCTAGAACGGGGTATAAAAAAATGGCCCATTTCTAGAACGGGGTATCAATTTCAGGGGAATTTTTTTTTAGAACGGGGTGCCAATTTGGAATCCCGGGCGGCACATACCCACCCAAAAAATACCCAAGTGCCCTCCCCGGGTAATCACCGACACCGGAAATCGTGACCTAGGTGCGTAGGTGCGTAGCTAGAGTGATAATTTAGATGGTTGATGCTATCGCCCGAGTCGCGCTGCAATAATAAACTCCCTTAATTACCAACGTTATGTTCTGCAGCTTAAAAAGTGTATCACTGCAGAAATTTGAAACACCATGAAACACAAAAGGAACGCAAAACCTACACTTATCGGCGCAGTTGATGGCGGCACTGGGACAATAGGAAGTCTTAGTCATGTGGCGAAACTAATTTTGTACACATCTTTATCCCTAGTGTGCATTTCAAACAGAAATCAGAGGTGTCTGCGCAGAAACTTTCTTCACAACAGCTTCAGCGATTATTTCCTATTTTGCACGAAAAGGGGAGCTTTTATTCAATAAACAGCGATCAGATCGAAGCAGACCGATTATGCGAACTTTCAAAAGAAGAAAAAAAGAGTGTACACTATATGAATATTTAAAGAAAAAAAAATTCCGCAAAAGACATACTTGGAATACACTGTCCAGTTTTTTGCATGATGTTAAAAGTAGTAAATTTACATCAGAAACTACGGAAAAATAGATCACAGAGAAAGCTTGAATTGAAATACCAGGGAAAATATCCTCAAAACAGAACCAAAAATCACTCCACAAACCCAATGACATTTTTTCTTGCCCGACCGACCGAAAAATTGTACAGGAAT